GCCGTAGTAAAACCTTGCTGCTTCCACATTTTGACTTGTACGACTGAGTGACACTGAGTACAGTCACCGGGTTGTCCGGCCATCACTACACTCTGTTTCCAGATTCTTCCAACGCCTTTAACAGTAACCACCTGCTATTCATGCTGCCACTCCTCTGTGCCCACCCCAGACTCGTAAGGTTTGCTTGTGTTCTTGCCTTTGTTGTTTATGAGAGGAGTTGTTTCTGAACCAACAGAGTCAAGTGTGTGTTCTTTGTTGTGTGTGGTCTCTGAAGTCTCTGCTCAGTTAGCCTGGAGTTCAGCTAATGATGACCCAAAAATTTACTTACACTCTGGAATCACTAAGTGTCTTGCTCTGTCCTGGGACTCTGTGTGGGTTTGGGGGGGGATGCCTTTACCATTTGGCCAGGCATTTGGCCTTTATGTCACCAAGAGTTTTCCTTTGCCTCTGCTTGGTGCTTTCACGAAGCCTTAACTGAACCAGAGGAGGGAGCTTAGGGCCGTCTCTAGCCTTTCCTGAGCATGCGCACAGCCCTACCTGTGCATATAGGATCAACACTTAGCCAAACAACAGACTGGCCTATCAAGTGAATAATAACACTTGGGAGGTCCACACCCCTCACAACAATCAATCACACGAGACCATAAGGGAAATTGGCCTCAAAACAAAGCTCAGAAGGTAGGAAGGGGCAGGAAAGAAGGACGCGTGGAAACAGGAAACCCAGAGAGGAAGGGGGAAGAGCACTGTTACACTGCAACCAGACACAAGACAATATGTGTAGACATTCTTGGATGGAAAACTAGTTTGCTCTGTAAACTTTTACCCAAACTCCCTTTAAAAAATAGAACGAAGTCACTTCTCTTTGAAACTCACTTTGGGAGAATTATTACAGTGACGATTATGAAGCGTCCTTGACTACAGTTATTGTTGCTGGGCGCCAGCCAATGGATTCTGAGTCATAGTGACCCTGCATACAACAGAACGAAGCACCGCCTCATGCGTCCCTAGGTCTACTGTCGTTCTCTTAGTACTTTGAAGGCTGTGAGCTTCGAGAGGGAAACAGTGGGTGTTTAGTGTGTCTCCAAGTATCTTGTATGGTGCCTGGACTCATGTGTATTAGTCAAGACCCTTCCAATTGTAGTTCAATCTGTGTCAAGTAAAGCAGGTTAATTTATATCAATAAATTTCCAAGATAGCAGTCACGGGGTATAGCTAGATTCAGGAACCCTGTCATCTTTTCCAGGAATCAATCTGTCTCCTACTCTTGTGTCTGATTTCTTTGTTTGGACTTAACAAGTCGGGCTGCTAAATTCAAGGTCAGCAATTCCACGGGAGAAAGATGAGGCTTTCTTCTCCTGTAAAAATTTACAGCCTCGGAAACCCTATACAGGGTCACTATGGGTTGGAACTGACGCACCAACACTTAACAACAACAACAACAACAATCTTTCTAGGCGGGGGTAGGGTGTGGTGGGGGGATGGGCCATCTTGCTTGGCCAGGTTTATGTCACTGCTTGTCTTCGAGCCTGACTGTGTGGCCTGTAGTCAGCACCACTCACTCAGGCCATATTGACTGGCAGAAAGTTGGCTGATACGCGAAGGGCCAATGAGCTGGTGTTATTATACATGGGTAGGGAGGAATATGGAAGCTTGGCAGGCAAATTTAACCCTTGCCTATGGTGGTTGGTGGTTACGTGCCGTGGAGTCAGTTCCAACTCATAGTGACCCTGCATAGGGTTTCTAAGGCTATAAACCTTTACAGGAGCAGAAAGCCTCATCTGTTCTCTGTACCCACTGAGATTCTTCCCTTATCTACACCATTCTCCCACCATTGGTGAGTTCTCCTCATCTCAGCTTCCTGTCCCACCGTCTGTCTTAAATGTAAAGAGGAGAGGGAGGTGGAGATTGGAAGACCCTACACAGAGGTGGGAAGAAGATCCAGCTTCAGGATTGGTCTTCTCAATCTGAGAGGAGTGTCCTAAGCAGGTCAGAATAGTCCCTTCTAATGATGAAGAGTCCTAGTGCCACACTGGTTAAAATGCTTGGCCGCTGACTGAGAGATCTATAGTAGACAGATGAGACATCTGTGGAAACCTATGGGGCAGTTCTACTCTGCCTCATGAGCTCGCTATGAGTTGGAATCCACTCGATGGCAGCGGATTCAATTTTGGGTTGGAGCATCTGATGATTTCATCTCAGAGAATCACTGATGATGCACAACAACCGTGAACCATGTACTCCCCCTTACTAGGCGGCATGCTGACTGACCCATGCCCTCTCTTCTCTGTCCAGGATTCAGAGGTTTTGAACACGGCCATTCTCACGGGAAATGCGGTGTCGGTGCCTGTGAGAGTCGTGGGCGTTCAAGAAGACGGTTCGGTGGTTGATGTATTGGAGTCTTTGGAATGCAAGTCAGCTGATGAAGATGTCATAAAGGTGCAATTGGGGCTACATCTCTCTCTCTCTCTCTCTCTCTCTCTCTCTCTCTCTCTCTCTCTCTCTCTCTCTATCCATCCCTGATGGAACCATCCTAACTTTAGCAATCCATATACCGTCTTCACAACTTTTTCCAGTTTCCTGTGCTGCATGTGATTTTACTCAACATATTTTTTTAAATGCCTCATTTTTTAAATCTTGAAAATGTATGTTACCTCATTTTGATACTAAAAGGAGTCCTGGTGGCACAGTGGTCAAGAACTTACTTTCTAACGGAAAGATCAGTGGTTCAAACCCACCAGCTGCTCCATGGGAGAAAGATAAGGCAATCTGCTTCTGGAAAGATTTGTAGCCTTGGAAACCTTATAGGAGCAGTTCCTTTTGTACAGGCCTAATGTTCTAAAGAAGCAATGTCCTTCCATGTGCCACCTAACACAACTGAATAACCCCCAGTGGGACACAGCCCCACTTGGCGATACTCATCAGTCACGGCCAGTCTGTTGGCTTCTTAGTGTGAACTACTGAATTTGTGAGTCCCCATTAGCCAGAAACCAGTCCATGGGTTCCTCAACATTCTTTAGTATTTCTATTATTGTTAGCACATGGGTTGGCCATTTTCCTGTACAGTGACAACTTCAGAGAGAAAGGGCTTCAATTTCCTGATCTACTCTCCCTCCCTGATATTGCTAAGAGGACTCTTAAGTCCATTGCACTCATTCATTTCAGGAAAACACAAGAGCACAGAGTTCTATCCTTCCTGGTATTTTGCTGGCTCCCTTTTAAAGGTGAAAGGCAACTCAGTCTGAAACTTGAGAACCTTGTGGTAGATAGACAAGGTGGTAGGGTTTTCTGTGGGAGGCCAGGTCTGGGAGTGTTGATTTTTTCTTTCTGTGGTGGACAGGAAGTTGTGCCAGAGACAGTATTGATGAAGAAGAGGCCTAAGTAAATGGTAATGCATCCTTAGGAAACCCAGAGTTGTCACAGCCTGAGCTTAGATCTCCACTCTCCCTAAGACAAACGTGGAGTCTCTTTGTTGTTGTTGTGAAGTGCTGTCATGTCAGTTCTGACTCAGAGACTCTGTATAGGGTTTCCAAGGAGCATCTGGTAAGTCTGAACAGCCCACTTTCAAGTTAGCAGTCTAGTGTTTATCTTAGAGCACCACACCAGGACTCCCTGTGCTCTCTGGGCAGGGACTAGTGAAACAACCCCCATGCCCTGCTTCAGACACTCTGTATTGGATTTCTAGGCTGTAAATCTTTATAGGAACAGAAAGTCTCATCTTTCTCCCACAGATCGTCTGGTGGATTCCAACCACTGACCTTTCAGTTAGCAGTCAAGTGGTTAACCAGGTCTCCATACAAACCCCAGGTCTTAAATATTCAGAGTGTAGAAAGGTCTGATCATTCTACAGTCCATCTGCAATGCAATGAAAAACGCTTTTTTTTTCTTTTAATAATTACTTTATGTTAATAATATATTTAATCTCTATCTCCTTCCAAGGTGATTTGAATCGACTCGCTTTGTAAAGTTAGGTACAATAAACATATGTCTGGAAATAAGTGAATGAAGTACCAGCAAAAATACACTTTCTAAGGAATGAGACATGAAAGTACTGTTGGTGATGTGTTGCCCTTGGTTGTTGTATATATTGTAAGTTGTATATAGTGTAAGTTGTCCTTACACTATACCCTGTAGATGTTCCCATGTCCTTGTCACAAGAAGATGCTGATGGTGGCCTTTGGATACGCTGTCTGTGTGTCTACACTCGCATGGGTCCAAACAAATCGTTCACCTCTTCAGTCTCTAAGCCTTCTGTTCCCTCTAGAGAGCCTGCTAGGGCTCTCAGAGGGCAGAGTCTTCACTCGCATGCCCTGGAGAACTCAACCCCAAGAGGGGTGAGCCCTAGTCCATGGAGACTGGACCCTATTCTCTGCCTTATACTTCCCTTCACAGGAAAGTACTGAGAACTCCCCTCCACTTGTCCAAATAGCTAAAGTGCTTTGTAAAACAATAGCTTAGGCTCAAATGTCCATTTGGTAGCTTCATGAAGAGGGGGCTTTCTTCCCAGCATTTCATGGACCAATTTCCAGAGGAGCCAAACAAACTCTGAAGATCACCAAGCTCAGAGTTGCCTTTTCTGTTGCCACTGAACTTAGTGAAAGAATTGACCTGGCTTTAGTGTCGATGTTTAAAATGCATCAGCCACAATGCAAGGTTGGCGGTTCAAACCCATCAGCCGCTCGTCAGAAACCCTATATGGGGTTGCTATGGGTTGAAATTGGCTTTATAGCTCTTAACATCAACAACAACAACATGGTTATTATCCTGTCACTCACAGCAGTGTACTTCCGGATAGATGCTGTAATGCTTTTTTTCACAATGAATAGTCATTCATGGCATGTTGTTGTTCTTAGGTGCCGTCTAGCTGGTTCCGACTCATAGCCACACTATGCACCCTTAACAAAACACTGCCTGGTCCTGCACCATCCTCACTATTGTTGGTCTATTTGAGCCCATTGTTGCTGCCACTGTGTCCGTACATCTTGTTGGGGTACTTCCTTGAGGTTGTCAAGGACTTCATTCTTCTTGGATCAACTATCAACACTCGCGGAAGCAGCAGTCAAGAGATAGATGACGTATTGCATTGGGCAAATCTGCTGCACAGGAACTTTTTAAAGTGTTGAAGAACAGTCAGCTTGAGGACTAAGGTGCGCCTTACCCAAGCCATAGTATTTTCAATAACCTCATATGGATGCGAAAGCTGGACAGTGAATAAGGAAGATCGTAGAAGAATTGATGCCTTTGAGTGGTGGTGTTGGAGGAGAATATTGAAAGTGCCATGGACTGCCAAAAGAACCAATAGATCTGTTTTGGAAGAAGTGCAACCAGAGTGCTCCTTGGAGGCCAAGATGGCTAGGCTTTGTCTCTCATACTTTGGACACATTATCCGGAGACAACAGTCGCTGGAGAAGGATGTCATGCTGGGTAAGGTGGAGGGTCAGAGAAAAAGAGGAAGACCCCCAACAAGATGAATCAGCCAGGTGGCATCATTGATGGACTCAAGTGTGGCAGCGGTAGTGAGGTTGGCCCAGGATCAGACATTGTTTCGTTCTGCTGTGCATGGGGTCGTTATGAGTCGGTTCTGACTCGATGGCACCTGACAACAACAACAACAACTCTAACAACATGTTCAAAGTATGGGAGATGAAGTCTCACATCCTCAATTCTGAGGAGTGTTCTGGCTGTACTTTTTCCAACAAAGATTTCTTTATTCGCTGTCCAACTTTCACATGTATATGAAGCAACTTAAAAAACTATGCCTTAGGTCAGGAACACCTAATTTATCAAACTGATGTTTTTGCTCTTGAACACATTAAAGAGGTTTTGTGCAGCAGTTTTGCCTAATGCAATATGTTGTTTGATTTCTTGACTGCTACTTCCTTAAGTGTTGATTATGGATCTAAGCAAAATGGAGTCTTTGAAAACATCAATTTTTTAAACATCTGCTTATTATGATGTTATTTATTGATCCAATTGTCAGCATTTTTTATTTACTTTACATTGAGGTGCAATCCATGTTGAAGGCTATTTTATTTGATCTTCATCAATAAATATTCTAAGTCCTCTTTGCTCTCAGCAAGCAAGGTTGTGTCATATGCATATCAGTGATTGTTAATAAGTCTTCCTCCATTCCCGAACACACTTTTCTTCATATACTCCATTTTCTCGGATTATACAGATTAAATAAGTATGATGAAAGGATTCAACCCTGGTGCATACCATTCCTGATTATAAACTATAGAGTATCCCCTTGTTCTTTGAACAATTGCGTCTTGATCCATGTACAATTTCCTCATGTACACAGTTATGTGTTGGAATTCCCCTTATTCAAAATGTTATCCATTATTTATTATGATCCATACTGTTGGATGCTTTCACATAGTCAATAAAGCACAAGATCTTTTGGTACTCTCAGCTTTTAAAACTCCAAGAAATTGGATTATATGATGCGATGCCTGCCTGTTGCTGTGATGCTGGAAACTATGCCACCGGTATTTCAAATACCAGCAGGGTCACCCGTGGTGGGCAGCTTTCTGTAGAGCTTCTGGACTAAGACAGACTAGGAAGGAAGGGCTGGCTTCTCTCAGCGGACATCTGGAGCTACTCTGCTGCTTAGAAATGTGCAGAGAGCAGACCACTCAGTGGCCCTGATGCTTCTTCCTAAAATCAGTCACTGAAAACCCTGTGGATCACTGGAGAACATTATCTGGACCCTCCATCAGGAGGGCTCCATCACTGGAGGAGGACATCGTGCTTGGTGAAGTAGGATGCCAGTGAGGGTGAGGGAGACCCTCGGAGAGACAGATTGCCACAGAAACGGTAGCAGTGGACTCTAGTGTGCTGATGGTGGTGAGGATGGCACAGGACAGAGCAGCGTTGTGTTCTGGGCTATTCTGTCCTGCTCTGTGTATGTGGTCACCATAGGGCATGGTCAGCTTCATGGCAAACAACAACAGTAGTACTTCAGAAAGCACAGTAGTGCTGATCACAACAACCCTCTGAAGTTGGTAACCTGTGTGCAATCATTCACAGCTACAGAGAAGGAAGTGGAGGCCCAGGGAGGTTAAGTTTCCCACCTAAGATCTCTCACCGTGGGATGGAAGGAGCCAGATTTCTGAGGTAAGCAGGCAGTTGCAGAGCCTGCAGTCCTGACCACTAGACATGAGGAGGGCACTGGAGGAAGTTATGTTGAGTGTGGAGCAAAGCGCCGTCCCTGCAGTCTCCCCACCTGAGAATCTGTCGGGAGTGGACTTCTCCCATCTTTATAAACTGCCAAACCACCAGGGGAGCTTGTTTTCTTCCGTTTGTCAAGCTTCTTTGAAGGCCTTCACAGGGAAGATGAAGAATGGGGTTTTAGAGTGTGATTATATTGTAATCTCTGAGTGTCTGAATTGCTGACTAATTTATGGACTTTCATTTCTAATTGATTAGTAACTGTG